CCAGGTTCAGCCCTGTGGGAATGCCAGCATGGGCAGCAGGGCTGGGACCTCTCCAAGCCCAGTGGAGCTGGACACCAGCCGTCCCCACGGCTGCTGGTGATGGTTTGGGGTAAACCCCACAGAACATGTCCCTTCTGCCAGTGCCCTCCAGGCACTGCCCTGATCCCAGCCCAGCCTGAGCTCAGCCCGATCCGCACAGCAGCGTTCCTGGCATCTCCCTCCCACTCCCATCAGAGCCAGAGCCTGGTGCTGGCAGCAGAAACCTGAGCTGCACAGTCTGAAACCCCCCATTTATTTAATTATTTATCTGTTCTGCCCGTTTCCTCTCGCCACAGGCTGGTCTTTGTTTTTCTAATGCTGTAAAATAATGTTTAGAAACAAACCCTCCCTGGGTTGGTGCACTGCCTCACCCCTGCCAGGGTCACAGCACCCCGTGTGTGCCTGCTCTGGCCACACTTAAATGAAGCCATTGTGGTGATTGGCCAAAGGCTGGACTCGATGATCTTGGAGGTCTTTTCCAACCTAAATGATCCTGTGACTCTGTGACACCAGAGGGAAATGCACAGTCAGCACAGGTATTAAGTCTGGTGTTCACACACCACCTGTGTCTGCTCATGGCAAGCACAACCAGCCAGAGCAGAGCCCTGCAAACCCCAGGACCTGCCTGACTGTGCATTTGAAGACTTCTGTGCTGAGGGGGAAAGAGGCTGCCAGGCCTCAGTGGGCAGGCATTCTCAGCTGGGAAAGGGAATTTTGGAAAGGCTTGGAACAGCATGATTTGTTGAAAACGTAATTAATTTAATGGTAAGAAAATATCATTTCAATGAAAAGGATATTACAGCAAAGCTGAAACGCTTGCATGAAGGGCAAAGATAAACCAAGAGGAAAAAAAATAAAAAGGAAGTTAAATAAATCTTAAAATAAACCAGGTGAAATCAATTAAATACTGATAGGTTATATTCCCCGTGCCTGCTGTTGGCACTCCAGAATTGCTCTCAGACCCCACAGACCTCCTTCATCCTTTAAGATGAAGCATTGCTCATTTATTCACTTATTTCGATTCTCACTTGATCCACCTGCTTCCTCTCAAGGTTTTAAATTTTATTTACACACATTTGGTTTCAGTATTTTGCAAACCATTTATGATCTATTTCTAAGGACATATCGCTGCCTGAAGCATCACCTGGAGATGTGAATTAAGCACAACAACACAAAAGGCAGAAGAAACGTTTCATAATGCTATTGGGGCGGCTCCAAACGAGTTGCTAGGTGAGGTGCTGTTGTGCCAGCAGCGCTGGGGCTGCAGTTCTGCTGCCACTAAAAATAGTTGCAACTTCAAAACCAGTGCATGTACATGCAACCAGCCTCGTGCTCTATTAAAATCTTTACAAAACCTTTTTGTTCACTAAAATCATAGACAAATAAGAGGATTGGCAGTTCTTTTTTCTCCTGGCACCCAGGGGTCAGTGTGTTTAAGTCCACAGCCCTGACTTTCCAGGTAGGACTCTCCTGGTGGCGGTGGGAAGAACAGCCCCTGTCCATCACATCACAGGGCACCCTCCTGCCAGGAGCAGGATGAAAACGAAAAATCCACGGTGCTGTGCTACGAAAATGTACAAGCTGACAGCAGCTCACCTGTAGGTTTCATACTGATTTCATGCTGTGTTAAAGATATGTAAGAGTTACTGGGGCACAAACGAAAAAATCATTAACCCTCTGAGCTTCAGGAAGCAAACACAGCTCACGAATGAGAACTGGTGTTGGCGTGGGGCCCTGCAGAGTGCTTTGGCTAAAGTTAAGCTCTAAATAACTATTACTTCAAACTTTGTGGTGTCTCCAATGAATGATTGGTAGTTATTAGAAGATTCCTAGGTTACATGCATGACCACAAAATCAGAACACGTTTAATCTCATTTGCCAGTGAAAGGCTGTACGGTTTGAGGGAAGGTGGAACTTTCAGGTGGTCACAGCAGTGAGGTGATGAGCTGAGTCCTGTTCCTGGTAATCACAGCCCATGGTCATCACTGATTATTAATTACCAGCCCAAAGGCTGGAGTGGCAGTTGCATTCCCTTTGCACATTGGATGGATCAGAAACTCCAGCTGATCAGGGAAAGGTCTCTACACTACACCCACCTCCAAGGTTTACAGATAAACACGGGGATCCCCTTGGGCCCCTAAGGCTGGTGGACTGTCTTCCACAAATACATTTTAGAAAGGAACAGTTTAACAACAGACTTGCCAAGTTCCCCAGGAGCTCATGGCTCTGCCCAATCCCCCCCAGCTGACCAGCATCCTCTAAGAGGGACACCCAACACACATGGTTCTGTTGTTCCAGCAGGCGTGGGAGGAGATAGGAATTTGGTGGGATTTTGCAGTGGCTCTGACTGTCCCATGCCAAACAGAGCAATGCCTCTAGACCAGAGCTGTACAGGAGGCTCTGAGGCTCAGCTCCACGTTCCAGCAGGATTCAGCAGCGGCTATGACATCTCAGCAGGTACAGCTGGGAGTCACAGGGCACAGGAGCCGAGAGATGGAAAATCAACCCCATGTTAAAGGTGTTTAATGACTCTGCTCAGTGTGTGCTGGGAGGCTCCTGAGTGTGTCCACGTGGGAAGCTGTGAGTGCTGCCTCCTGCCTCCTGCAGTGAAAGGGACCTTCATCCAACAAAGTGTCCCAACAGACCTCAGTGATGCCCTGGTGAATCACCCCAACTGCACCAGCCCTTGGCCAGGCAGGGAGCACTGGAACCAGCTCCAGCAGACTGCCCAGGGAGCACAGACCCAGCAGGCTGCAGGTGAGGTGGCCCAACAGGGTCCCCAGGGTGGATCTCCCTGCTCCATCCACACGTGGGTCTCTCCTGCCACGTGTCCAGCCACCTGGAGAGGGGTTCTGTCACCCTGGGACTCTGTACACACTGTGACAGTGGCCAACTCTGCCACAGCAAAGAGCCGTGTTGTAAAAACACTCCAAGCAGCTGCAGCAGGCCCAACCTGGGTGTGCCACTCTGCTGGGGCAAATGGGATCTTTTTGCAGGCATGAATTAGTGGAACTAACTGAAATCAACCACAAAACACTGGGAAATGAACGGGATTTTCAACCCAGAGAAGCAGATTCAGAGAATATCCTATTTTTATGCTCCCTCTCCGTGTAATTCATCTGCCATTCCAAACAAGATGTGCCTCAGCTGAATGAAGCCTCAAATAATCACATAATAGGAGAAGTCATTTATTGTGAATCAGGCTCTTTCTGTGGTATATAAATAGTCTGTGCTGTTCCATGGGCTTTGTCAGTCAGGATTAATTAGCAATTGACCCTTGGTTGGGATTTTTTCACTACCTCTACATTTTTCATAGGCCTGAACGAGCTCTCCACGTTGCTTTAAGAGGCTTGCTAAGCTGGAGTTTCATTTACCTCTAGGCTATACATCAGTAGTTTAATTTATCACTAGGTTACATATCACCAGCAAATAGTCAGGGTGGAATCAAGTTTATTATAAAGATGTTCTGTTAAAAGACACATTATTATTACAGTGATTGAAACATGCTCTTCAATTTTCCATTAATGCCCAATTCTGAATATGACCACGGAGAACCACACTTTACATACTTTACATTTAGCATTCTAATAAATAAGTTCAATAAATAGGGATTCTGCAGATGAAGCCGTACTTGTGAACAGAAGCTGCTTTACAATGTTGTCAAAAAATAACTAGAGCTACTCTCGTTTGTTACCAACCACTGGAAATTGGTAAGTAAAATATAAGTATTTTACTCTTACTGTGAAGACTGGAGGAACAAATCACCCTTAGGATTACACAGAACCTTATTTCGTACACTAAATTCATAATTCAGAGCATGCTTTCATAACGCTTTCAGCACAAAATATTTTCAAATACATTTATTAAAAACATGAGAAATGAGTGAGACTGCCCATGTAAGATTTCGTCTGTGCCTGATCACTAGCTCTTATGTTACACAATATTGCAGTTTGGCTAATTTTGGATGAACTATTCCACATTTGGAGAAGATCTACAGTAAAGGGCTGGATTTAGTCCTTAGTATATCGCAACACGTTAATACAGTAATTTATTTGCCAAAGTACAAAAAAACTCATTCCCTCCCCCAATTACTGTTATATATATATATATATATAATATATATATATTCCATTTATATTATCCATTTTAATCATTATATTTCTCGGGAAACAACTCTTGTGTTGTCTGTACAGACTGCAGGAACAGAACCATTCTTGTACCAAAGGCAGGTAACTCGAGCACCTGTCCTGTGCTGGCCTGGCAGGGTCAGGTATTTCCAGCACAGCCACTTCTCCCTGCACAGAGCTCTGCAGGGCTCCGGTGCCACAGTAGGATGCTGGCAGCCCCTGGGCTGGGCACGGAGGGACACTGGCAGCCCCTGGGCTGGGCACGGAGGGACACTGGCAGCCCCTGGGCCGGGCACAGTAGGATGCTGGCAGCCCCTGGGCCAGGTACAGCAGGATGCTGGCAGCCCCTGGGCTGGGCACGGTGGGATGTGGCAGCCTCTGGGCCAGGCTCACCCCGCGCTCCCCGGCCAGCCCAGTCCGTGCCCCTCCAGCCACCCTGGCACGAAGCAGGGTGGGACCCTGGGCTCAGGGCCAGGGCACCTCCACACACCTCTGCTCACCAACACACAGCCCCGGGGGGCCCATCTGCCAGTGCCCCAGGGACCACCTCACCCGCCAGCCCTCGGCCTCTAAGGGGGTCCAGACTTGTCGTGAACAACCATCCAAAAGCACAACCATGCACACACCAGTAAGCCTACCTTTAGTAAAACACCGGCACTGAAAGAGGACTGAACCATAAATGCCACCAAACTACCAAATAATTATCAGCACTAGAAATAATAAAACTGTAAATGATAACTGCATCGTGACTCTCATTTAAATCCTTGTGCACAACAGCGAAAGGCTGTGACTGAGCCTCAGAAGACAAGATACTGCTCTTATTTTTATTTCCTATTTTTAAAGACAGGCTGACTGAGAACATTTTTGAACGTGGGAGACTAAGTCATTAAACTAGAAGCACTTGGATTGCTTTCCTCCTTTAGGGGATTTACTTCATTTTACTTTATCTGACACAAGTCAGAAAGAAATGAGACTATTGAAGGAAAGCTGAATTTTGACACATTATTTTCCATTAGAATCCTTCCACTGACTTTGTTAAGCTTTTTCTAAGATCAGAAAATGAGGCTTTACCTAAAAGGAATTTGAGACTGGTAGATTTTCCTCACACACTTGTAGCCCTACAGTCTCCTACTGCCTCAAAGCGGAGGATTTTTTCAAACTGCTCCCAAATCTTCCACATTTGTTCACAAACTGGTATCTCCATTCTGTTTATACTCTGCTAAAATATTGAGAGTCATTTCCTCGCTTTTGGACTGCACGTTGTGTTCGCTCCTTCTGGACGATTTCCTGGTGGCCCTGGAAAGCCGCCTTCGGAAGGTGTCACCTGCCAGGAAGTAAAGGATGGGGTCGACGCAGCTGTTGAGGCTGGCCAGGCCCCTCGTCACTTGGTAAGTGGCATAAACCTTATCGTTGAAGGCACACATGTCTGGAGTCTGAAAATCCACCCTGGCCCTTAGATTTAAGGTCTTCATCACGTGGAAGGGAAGGTAGGACACGGCAAAGACCGTCAACACGATAATAACCAGGTAAATAGACTTTCTCCTGAGAGGAGAATTGTCCAAATCTTTGTAAATCAAAGCTTTCACGATGAGCCCATAGCAACCAAGAATCACTATGAAGGGGATGCAGAACATCAGCACTGTGGTGCACATGCTGTAAATGAAGTAACTTCGCAGGTAATCGTCGGCCGTTGTGTCATAGCACGTTATGGTTTTATTTTTCCTTATCCCCGTTCCCGAGTAGAAGAGTATCGGAGAAATGGCGGCCACCACAAGGACCCAGACCAGGCTGCTGATGTACACGGCGTTCTTCTTCTTCAGCCTCCCCAGGGACTTCAGGGGGTGCACCACTCCCGTGTACCTGTGCACGCTGATGCAGGTCAGGAACAGAATACTGCCATACAGGTTCACGTGAAAGATGAACCTCTGCAGCTTGCACATGATATCTCCGAAGATCCAGTCTGTTTTGTTGAAGTAGTAAAAGATGAGGGCGGGCAGAGTCAAGACATACAAGAAATCGGCTAATGCCAGGTTGAACATGTAAACCGAGATGCCGCTCCAAGGCCTCATGTGGAAGACAAACATCCAGATGGCCACACTGTTGCCCAAAAACCCAGTGATGAAGACCAGAATGTAGACGGTGGGCAGGTAATAGAACTGGAAGCCAGTTTTGGTCAGAGAACACTTGGTGGTGACGTTTCCCACAGACCAGCCGCTGCTGGATAACAGGTTGGGTTCAGTTCCATTCAGAGCAGCAGAGAGAAGGACTTCAGTCATGATCCTTCCCCCAGAGTCACATAGGTCTGAGGCGAACCAACGAAGTCTCTACAGGCATCTAAAACGCATCCAAAAAAAAGGAGAGAGCAAAGGAAATCTCGCTGGAAGGTGAGCCCTGCCCTGCTTTTCCTCGGAGGTTTCCAAGCGGCGGTGCCTGGCGGGAGCGTCCCCCCGCAGCACCCGGACCCGCCGGGAGCCAGGGGACACCTCTGCGAGCAGGAAGGGCCCCGCTCCGCTCCCCGCCCCGCTCCCCGCCCCGGAGCACCGCGCTCGCCACCGCGGACCGGGGACAGGGACAGGGCGGCGCGGCCGGGCTACGGCAACGAGAGCGGCCGGGGCCAGCGGGGCCGATCGGAGCCAGCGGGGCCGATCGGAGCCAGCGGGGCCGATCGGGGGCAGCGGAGCGGCCGCTCCTCCCGCGCCCCTCGGCGAGCGCCGCCGCCCCGCCCGCCCCCGCGGCTGCCGCCCCGTCC